ACAAACATCAGCTGACAGGTGTCTACACTCGTTAAAAGTCTCTACACTCGTTGCAGGTATTTGGTTGGTTAAGTTGAGTGGTTGGTAAATTGGTGTTGTTTGATTGGTTCATTGGTCGTTGTTGTTCTGGTCTGTTGGTCAGTCGGCCAGTCGGTCAGTCGGTCAGTCGGTTGATTGTTGGTTGGTCCATTGGTCCATTGGTCTGTTGATTTCTTGGTTGATATCGATTGTTGGTTCATTGGTTGGTTGTTTGGTTGGTTCGTCTTTGGTTCATTGACCTCATGATTATTTTTCTTATCAAACCTCATGGGAAGCCTCAAACTTCACCTGTTTAACAAGGATCTGATAAGGAGGACGCACTCTCATCTGCAGACTGATTCTCATTTCCTACTACAAACACACACACACACGATCTGTGGTTGACAGATATGAAGACTGACCGTCACTCTTCATCATCATCGTCATCAGCAACACCAGAAACAGCATATCCACTGGCTGTAGTCCACTCTGTCTGCGACTGCTGGCTCCACCCCCTCAGCTGTCAATCACTGTGAGAGAGGAAACGCATTCTCTCAGTGGTCCAAGTGTGTGTGTGTGTGTGTGTGTGTGTGTGTGTGTGTGTGTGTGTGTGTGTGTGTGTGTGTGTGTGTGTGTGTGTGTGTGTGTGTATGTGTGTGTGTGTGTATGTATGTGTGTGTGTTGACAGATGTAAATGTTTCTTTCGTAAATCTCATAAAGTATTCTGTTTGAATGAAACTTTAATTATTGTTTAATCGGACAACACAAACACACACACACACGCACGCACACTCACACACACAAACGCACACACATGCACACACACATTAAATACACATAATATATCTTAAATACATACACACACATACAGTAAGTCCATACAAACAACCACACGGATATAAAAAGAAACAGAATATGGAACAGGTAGAGAGCTGACTGAGTGTGTGACGGACCTCTTCTTCGAGTATCATCAAATTAGGAAGTGAAAGATTGAGAAACAAAGTGTAAGTGACAGAGACAAACTGACCAATCAGAGAGAAGCAGGAAATTAACCCCCACTCCCACACAGAAAGTGTGGTCAAAACAGACAGCTAAATGAGAGTTTCCTTTGATGTTGAGGTCTCTTAGAAATTCAGAAAACAAGAGCAGATAGATATCTTTTATTCCTTCTCCTTTACAGATGTACCCTAACCCTAACCCTCTCACAGGGATACTAAGACAAACTGTTACCTTGATAGCACTGAACCTGGAGAACTCCCAATGTTTAAGCTCCTTTTTCTCACCTTTATATTCCAGCGACCCCTTGGCCCAAACTGTGAGCTGTCTGAAAACTGCTTCAGTTCAGATCGTGAACATTTAGACATGACGTTAAATAAGAGCCATATTAGCATGAAAGCCATGAATCATGGCACACAAGAACAAAACCCTCTCATGTTAATGACCATCATGAGCCGGGGATGAACTCTGTGATGACAGATCAGAGGTCTGCAGATGGACGTCAGTCTGTTTCTTTATTCTTCAGAAGAGACAAATTTTAAATACAAACACTTTCATTTCAAATATTCTTAAAATGCAGACGTCGGGCTGTGATGGCCTTTAATGAGTCGATTAAACTAACGTATGCCTCTGTTTAAAGTAACCACCCCCGCCTCTACAATTTTATTTTATTTCATCCAAACAAATAAAGTTAAGAAAAACAAACAACATAAAATCTCAAATTTTGAATGCAAAGGAGCAGAAAGAAGACTAATCTTATAATATCTGCCCTCTTTCACAAGCATTAATTAAAACAAAATGATTCTATTTGAAGTTGTTGGATGGTTTGATCTCATGCAATTCTGAAAAGGACAAACACTGTTTCTGAAGATGAATCCTAAATGTGATTTAACTGATGAGACTTATTTGAAATATTAGAATTTATTCAGCCTGTCCTCAAACCATAAACACATAACAATGTTTGTCTTTAATGAAATCAGTTTTCATCCTGTCGGAGGCTCAGGTTGTCACATCCTGACCCGTGTGTTCCTGTCTTCATCCTTTTTAAAGACTGTATACAAACACACAGATGGACATCTGTATCTTCTTTATCCTTCTCACATTACAAAAACATTACGTATAAAACCTCAAAGAGTACATTGATTATTGACATTATAAGTTTCTACTTTAGGCAGCTCATGACGATGATATCAAACATTCAAATTTGGTTATTGGACACAAACAATCTCCAGATATGATGTTTGCTGTCTTCATGTTGGTGTTGTATGTTCCTGGGGATCCTTTAAACTGTTACACTCTGTGATTGACAGGTCTCCTGTACAGGTGTAACCACGCCTCTTACCCAATGACAGCTGTGATTGGCTCCAGCTGGATGAGCTCAGTGTGACTCAGGATGTCTGTTTACAGCAGCTTGAGGCTATCAGGCGTCAGAGTCATGAAAAGTTTCTACTGATGAGGTTGGAAGATCTTTAAAAAACACATCTGAGGATGTTGAACCAATCAGGAGATGACTTTCAGTTTCCTGTGAAACTCACTTATGTCCTCTAAGGTGTCAGAAGCCACAGTTTGCTCCACAACATGACGTGTTGAGGCGTTCAGAGAGTCATAATATCGTTTGATTTCCTTCACTTCCTCCTGCCATCGTCTCTTTGTGGCTGGGTTCTCCTCCTGGGCCTCTCTCAGCTTCTCCTCATACTTTACCTCTATAGCTTTGATCTCCTTCTCCAGCTTATCCCTGTAGAACTCTCTAAGCTCCACCTCCTTCTTATTCAGCAGCTCCATCACCTCCAGGTAGGTGGGGTTGGAGTAACACTTCCCTCCGTTGACACACACCATCTTCTCCACCTTCTCCAGCAGATCAAGGACCTGTCCACGATCGTTAGCCCTGTGGTTGTTGAAGACGTGGTATCTGTTTCCCGCCTTCTTCAGGACCTCCAGCAGCTCAGGCCCCGCCCCTTCCAGCTGTCGCTCGACGTCTGCTGTGTCCCCTTCATCCTGGGTAAAGAGCATGATGGTGTACTTCCAGGCTTGCTCCCCAAAGATCTCCTCCACCTGCACGACCGCGTCTCTGTCTTCGTCGGTGAATGGCCCCACCTTGATGACCAGTAGGATGGCGTGGGGCCCCGGGGCCGACATGTTGATACATTTAGAGATCTCTCTCTTCACCATGAGTTCAGGTAACGAGGTGTCGAAGAGGCCGGGGGTGTCGACCACGGTCAGTTCTCTGCTGAACAGCTGACCAGTGTGTTTACAGCACTGTCTGCTCACTGAGGACACACACACACACAAACACAAACACAACCACATACACACACACACGCAGATACACACAAACACACAAAGACAGTATCATTGAGTCACGGTGGTCGAGTCTAATTCAACAGGTTTCATCTGGATTCAATCTACGACAGCTCCCTGGGCCCCACCGTTCAAAGTTTAAAGTTCAAAGTCGTCATGTTTCAAATTTTGATCATTTAGATTTAAAAATCTGTAGAGGTCGGCACAGTTCACATAAAAGGTAACCTCAGACGTTTGTGTTGATATCAGTTCATTCTGTTAACAATCATCTGTCATAGAAACATCCAGATCCGTGTTTCTGACACTACAATAAGAATTAAAACTGCAAGGAAGGTGAAGGACCCTCGCACCCCTGTGCATTTCAGGTGTGTTGCGACCGCGGGGATCGCAGCAGCAGCAGGTTTGGCCAAGCAGCGAGCCATGCAGATGGATTTGTGTAAAAGTCGTAGCACTGGCCAGTTCAGACAGGCAACGCTACGAGGATCACAGAATATGCAGAGCAGTTCAGGCCGGCACTGTCATGATGCTGTAGCCAAGTTTTACAACCTCTCTTTCTGCAGGACTCAGGGATGTGGATTAACATCGTGGTTAATTTAGAAACAACTGATCAATGATTTAAGTCTCCCTCTCAGACAGGCTCTGGAGGACAGGATATTATAAATTTTTACAACACCTGGAGTAAACAACCAAGCAGAAACAGAACACTCTGCTATCTACGAATTGACCCCAAAGACATGAACTGTGACCGAAACCAGTCTCTGCAAAGTCATTAAAATTGACCATCTGTTTTAAGGACTGCTGAAGAGCTGATTAAACCACAGCGTTCAATTCTGCATCAAATGAACATTTATGTCTTTCTTCATCTAGATATTTGTAATTGTCACATTGAATGTATTATAATCATCTTTTTAAACTCACAGTAAGACTGCTGGTTGCTGGTGTTGGGAGATTAAGTCGTGAGTCGTGTCTATTCAGAGCCCTCCTTTAAATCCAAATAGAATCCCAAAATTTGTTTATCAACTTTTCCCTTTTTTGATCATTTGCTGATTAAGTCATTCAAACAATACCGCGTCTTATCTCATTACTAAATATATAATGTCACCATACGTTATAATTGTATTACACAGCTTGTGTGACCACAGCGAAGGATCAAAAAGGAAGTGGCTGTAACTCTCTTATACTTTGTCTGATCTGCTTCAACTTTCACACGACCAGGGTTGGCCTCTAAACACATTCACATCAGAGTCTTTCTTCTAATATCACAGGTATCATAACAGTGTCAGCTGAACCGCTTTAAATATTAAGTGATATTCATTGCGTAACCTATTTGAACTTCAAGTTCAAGTTCAAGTTATTATTAGCCATTTCAACAATACAGTTGAAAGGAATTTGTCTTGGTGTGCTCACATATACTTGCCAGTGCTACGACTTTTACACAAATCAACCTGCTGGCCTGCTCCTTGGCCCCATCTCACTGCCGCTGCGTTCCCTGCAGTCGTGACACACCCTGACATGCATGCTTACGGTTTTAATAATGGATGAAGCCTGAGTACACAACACATTTGTTCCTGCAGGAGGCGCTGGAGTCCCACCAATGGCAGTCTCCATGCTGGAAATGCTGTCTCAGCCTAACTTTCAGTCAACCTAACTGTCACGGTTGTGGAAAAACAAGGGATGTGGACCCAAGTCAATCAGTCAATCAGGTCAGCTACATGCCTTATTGTGAATAACTCTTATCCTTCATCAGGGTTTTACACTTCCAAATTTACTTCATTTTTTAAACCGTCACACTTGTGTTATAAAAACAACAGAATCATCTTCTTTGTATTAATTCAGTAGATGTGAGTTCTTAAGAGGCCATGGGGTCTCAGAAGACTCTACACTAGACACATGTCTGTGTTCATATGTCCCCACAGGAAGTACCTTCATGTAGGTCAAGCAGCTTTTCACAATAAAGCACCCGGGAGAGCCGAGACTGGCATTTTGTCTCATTAATCAATATTATTTCTCACATTGAAAGTGATTTAAAAAAAACAACAGTAATTAACGAGAATAATTAACGATTAACAGATGTTTTCAGCTTTGAACAGTCAGGATTCCCCTGATCCCGCCAGAGGGCAGGATGCAGACCGGATCACAGGAACTAAATGTGATTAAAAACATTAACATTAGTGTGAAACAGGAAACGGCTCACCTGTACCTTCCTGTGACTTCACTCACCTGAGGACTGACTGACAGCTGCAGGGAAGGCATCTCGCCCCAGTATAGTGTTTCCACTGGAGCTCTTCCCTGCTCCAGTTTTCCCAACAAGGACCAGTCTGAAATCTGAAACAGAACACACAACATGACAGGTGAGCAGCAGCACAGGTGAGCTTCAGGTGAGCTTCAGTTTTTATGAGAAAGAGATAATGTCTGCTACCTGTCCTGTCTCTCTCTAACTGTCTGTCTCTACCTGTCTGTCTATGCCTGTCTGTCTCTATCTGTCTTTCTCTATCTGTCCTTCTCTACCTGTCTGTCTCTATCTGTCCTTCTCTACCGGTCTGTCTATACCTGTCCTTCTCTACCTGTCTGTCTATACCTGTCTTTCTCTATCTGTCCTTCTCTACCTGTCTGTCTCTATCTGTCCTTCTCTACCGGTCTGTCTCTATCTGTCCTTCTCTACCTGTCTGTCTCTACCTGTCTGTCTATACCTGTCTGTCTCTACCTGTCTGTCTCTACCTGTCTGTCTCTATCTGTCCTTCTCTATCTGTCCTTCTCTACCTGTCTGTCTCTATCTGTCCTTCTCTACCGGTCTGTCTCTATCTGTCCTTCTCTACCTGTCTGTCTCTATCTGTCCTTCTCTACCTGTCTGTCTATACCTGTCTTTCTCTATCTGTCCTTCTCTACCTGTCTGTCTCTATCTGTCCTTCTCTACCTGTCTGTCTCTACCTGTCCTTCTCTACCTGTCTGTCTCTACCTGTCTGTCTATACCTGTCTGTCTCTACCTGTCTGTCTCTACCTGTCTGTTTATACCTGTCCTTCTCTACCTGTCTGTCTATACCTGTCTTTCTCTACCTGTCTGTCTCTATCTGTCCTTCTCTACCTGTCTGTCTATACCTGTCTGTCTCTATCTGTCCTTCTCTACCTGTCTGTCTATACCTGTCTGTCTATACCTGTCTGTCTATACCTGTCTGTCTCTACCGGTCCTTCTCTACCTGTCTGTCTATACCTGTCTTTCTCTATCTGTCCTTCTCTACCTGTCTGTCTCTATCTGTCCTTCTCTACCTGTCTGTCTATACCTGTCTGTCTCTATCTGTCCTTCTCTACCTGTCTGTCTATACCTGTCTGTCTATACCTGTCTGTCTATACCTGTCTGTCTCTACCGGTCCTTCTCTACCTGTCTGTCTATCCCTGTCTGGTATCTGTCTATCTGTCTGTCTGTTACCTGTCTATCTGATTGGGTAAGATATGCTACATGAGGATTAACCAGTCTTGTACATGTGTAGTGTGTCTATGAATAAAGAGACAGAGATAATACTGCGTCTCCTCGGCTGTTTAACCTGCTCAGGTAGCCTGGTCTGCTGGTTACCTGTATTAGACGAGCAGCTGTCCTGTACTACAGGTAGAGACAGACAGGTAGAGACAGACAGACAGTTAGGGACAGACAGGTAGAGACAGACAGGTAGGGACAACAAAGAGGTCTGATTGTCAACATACAAGGCAGACAACTGCTTAGGGCTCCAGGCCATTAGGGGGCCCCAGAGGGCTGACACACTTCAAACCACAACAGTGACGCAAAATGTGCAAAGTTTGCAATGACAGTAGGAATCCTCCTTAAGGGGCCCCCATCTGACAGCACTGCTCAGCATCAAATGCATTATAACTGAAAACCAGAGCTGTCAATGACAGGGTGCATTGGGATTGTCCAGATACACCCAAAGTCTCCAAAGGAAAATGAAGGTTTTTAACTTCAGCTGTCAAACACTTACATTTTCTAAACCCTCTAAATCACAGAATTACAAAAGAGAATCGTTACTATTCACATTTTTAATCAAATGTTTGAAATTCTGTTATTTCTCATTTAAAAATAAAAACGGTTCGGCTTCAAAACATTCATGCATTAAAGTCAGTCTTAATCACATCACTGGACCAAAGAACTGCTAGGAGCTCAACAACATCTTGTGGTTTAACACTGACCAGGAACCAGGACATCTCCAATGACTTGCTTGTGTTTACGTTAGACTACTTATGATATCATCTTTTGTATTTCCTTTTTCCACGCTTTCGCAGCACTTAAACATCACGCATCATTTTTCATTCATTCTTTTTTGTAAACAACGCATTTTTATCTGACTAGAGATTACCTGAATCGGCCCACAAGTTTTATCTCAAGTAATTTTCGCAAGACTTTTAATTCTTCTGATCTACTCGGAGCCACTGAGACAGACGACCTGGCTTCAGCTGCTGAGCATCAACTTTACACTGCTGTGTGACGTCACTTCTACCTGACTGTTGTGAGACAGTCCTTTGGCTGGTAGAAGTTCTGGTGGACCAGAAAAGCGATCCATCAGTATCTTAAAGCTGGACCATGTGGGGAAGTTTGACTGAACATCAAGTAAGGTTTCCTGAAACAGCTTCTGCCTCGAGAGATTCGTGGAAGTGTCGTTGTCCAACACATCAGGAGCTCCAAGTTATCATTCTCTCAAAACACAATTCCCTGAATCACATTTTTCTTTAAATCCTTACAAAACCTTTTATCATTTTATTTGTTACTTTCACCATTATGACAATACCATAATATTCAAATTAGAATCAAACGATTTCATTTCCATAATTTCGTTATTGAAGTCATACAAATTATAATCTTTGATATTTATTTTATTAATCTGCATTATTGTTCACGATTCCTGTAATAAAGTCACACGTAATCATTTAGAACTTTGTCTGTGTTTATTTAATGATTGAAGTGATCCAAGAGAACTTACTGACATTCTGATATGAGACTGAATAATTAATTAACTTAAGTTAATTTCTTCCTTTAACAGGAAGTGGTTCCCTGAGGAATAATTAGAATATAATATCTTAATAAATGAATTACGCAATATACCAATGAACTTCAGAACTTTGTGTAATGTTCTTACATGTATTAATAAAAACACGGTGTTTGGGTCTTGACGCAAGCTGGACTTTTTAGTTTTGAGTCAGCAGGGGTTTAGTTCATCATTTTTGGTGCATTATTTAGTTTAGAAGGGTGTTTTGGCTCTTTACGATTTCTTTGTTCCCTCCCCCCTCTCCAATCTATCGCTTGCGATTTTTGTGGTTAACCTTCTTGGATAACTTTAAGAGACCCCTGGGTCCACACCTGTGTCCCACTTCCCCCTTTCCTCACAAAAGGTGGTGAACGCTGGTTCGACGGCCCGTGTGGACACCTGCAAGACTCTAGAATCCCTAGACTTTAGAGACTAACACGTTCAATCTGTTTATTAGGATAAATGTGATATTAGAGAAACCTCGCTGTCACAGCCTCTGCCCTCTAACAAACACACTCACAACTTTACCACGTCACACTTTAATAAAGATCAGTATTAGTTTATTGCGTGATTCAAAGAAGGTTTCATACTTGAAGGTTTGTCCATACTTTCTCTCCTCCTCTGAAGAGCTGCAGAGAGACATTAAACAAAAGGTCAAAGGTCAGTGAAACATCCAGGTCTGTTTAACTTTATTGTAAATACTTTTATTTGTTTATGATTACAGTTCAGATATTTTTCTATAAATCTAAATGTGAATAAAAATATTATTATATTTTAATTTAAATCCCTGATATCAAACCTTGATCCTTTACACCAAACTTCAGTGAAACGGCCCAGCGCCATTTTGTTAGTAAGTGAAAGTGAAAGTCAGAGAATAAAACAAACAAAATCAAAGCTCATCAAACACTTTAAGATGGCACACTTTAAACTAGTGAGACAGGAAGTGCACTCTGTGTTCATATCAATGAGAGAGTTATCTCGGACTTACTGCAGGCTTTACTCTCCGCCATCTCAGCTGCTCTTCCCTCTGTCTGATTTTTAAACAACTCCTAACCTCTAAGAAACCAACAGGAAACATTCCACTCAAACGAGATTTATAAATGGTCTTCAAAATAAAAGTCCATTGGAAGGAAAATGGATCATTAAAAGAGAAACTACAGAACAAAGGTGTTCCATGAGTGATTAAAAAACAAAGAGATGGAATGAAATTAAGATGTAAGAGCACAAACATGCCCATTACAACATAGATAAAGAAGAAACAAAGAATCGGAAGATTTTATTTTGAAGGCTTTTAGAAATAAGTGGCTTAGGTGAATAGGGGTGTCTTGATATCGTTTATTCAGTCAGAATTTACGGGAAATACACAGACAGTGCGTGCTGATTTGACTTCTGTGAACTCACAAACCCTCTCAGCCCTGCTCTCAGGTAGGTACGTGCCTGCCTGTCTGTCTGTCTCTCTGTCTGTCTCATATCAAACTTTGATTTGATATGAAACCTAAAAATAAATGTCAATAAACACAGTTAAAGGTACAGATCATATCTCTGCAGCCTGCATGCTTTCACTTCTGTCTGCTTTCATTTTGTTTTTAGTTTCAGTGGATTTAATGTATTTTTCAGTGGAAGTTTGCTCGTTTTTTTTTTCCTCACATGACAGTTTAAAGGTGTTTCCTGATCAGATTACAGAGGGACGTGATTCTGAATATTTGAATTTAGTTCAGAGTCACTGACTGAGAAAACAAGGTGTGGCCGATTCGCTGAGACTCAACAGGATGAGACTTTTCCTGTCAGACACTGAATCTGACATCGAGCATTTTACTGGTGTGTGTGTGTGTGTGTGTGTGTGTGTGTGTGTGTGTGTGTCTCCAGACAGTCAGCTCACTCTGCTTCTTAAATACAGTAAACCCTCCTACAGTCTCAATACATCACAGAACATTTAAAACAATAAAATGCATCAATAGCAGAACGTCTGCTTGAAGGTAACCACACCTCTCTTAAAGATGGTAAATACCAGTTGGTTGGTCATAAAGAGAACAATTCAGGAGATCGTGAAGTGAAGAGCCAGTTTCGCCTATCTGCTCTTAATTACTCCTTTTATAAAGATTAGTTTTTCAAAGTTCCCTTACAGGCCTGCAGCAGATTATATTTCTTGGAGGATACCAACTCTAATAATATATGATATACATAGGTATATATATCTATGTATATATATATCATATATTGGTTTACTATAAAATAAGTCCAGAGACAGAATAACCAACTCTATTCCAGAAATATCTTTCAGATCTTCTAACCTCTCTTTTTTTTTTCTTCACGCAGGTTGTTTGTGTTCAAACATGGATCGACGTTCAGATCTCACCATCATCCTTCTTGGAAACTCTGGAGTTGGTAAAAGTGCATCAGGAAACACCATCCTGGGTCTAACAGCGTTTGAGTCAAGAAAATCATTTGCATCAGTGACAAAAGAAATCTCCATAAAAACAGGAACTGTGTTTGGGAAGCAGATCTCAGTGGTAGACACTCCAGGAATATTTGGATCTGAAGATGTGATTAAATCCCGCTGTCAGGGTCTCCTGGAGTCCTCTGGACCTTGTTTGTTCCTGGTGGTAGTTAAAATAGATCGATTCACCATCGAGCAGAAAAACGCTGTGGAGGCAGCTGTCAGAGTCATAGGGGATCAACTACTCAACTCTTACCTGCTCTTCACACAAGGAGATAATTTGGGTAGCATGTCCCTGGAAGATTTCCTCAATGAAGATCCAAATGGTCCACTTGTACCTCTTGCTCAAAAGTTTAATGGAAGACATCATGTCTTCATCAACAATGAAAATGGTGACGCGGAACAAGTGAAGATGCTGCTGGAAAAGTCAGGCCACCTCGGTGAGTAATTATCTTTGAAGAAAAATGTTCAAACATCATGATGAAAACGTTCTCAGCAGGAACTTCTGCTGTGACAAGTTTAAACTGTCAGAGTTCTGATGTACACTAACGGGAGAACAGACTACTAATCAGTGTATACCTGAACCAACAGACACGTAATGTATATGTTCATCACAGCTCTTTGGTCTGGATGTTCAGATTCTAAACTACACTCTCAGTGGGCAGGACCAAGCTCAAAGTCATGTTGATGTGTGGGAAACAAACCAATGACATTAAAGTATTGCTGTGAGACAATTTGAAAATGATGATTCATTTCTCTGATTCAGTGCTTTAAACTAAACTTTTTGAACTCAAAAGATTTCATACGAAATAATGTTTTAATCGCTGTACTTTTATTCCTTTAGCTAACCCACAGCCTGAGAATGCTCCGCCCCAAAGGATCGTGTTGCTCGGCCTACCAGGAGCTGGAAAAAGTTCTTCAGGAAACAACATCCTGGGATCAGAGAAGTTTAGATCAGAGAGTAACTTTAATCCAGTCAGTACAGAGACTGTCTCTGAATCAGCCACAGTGGAAGGACGTCAGGTCACAGTGGTGGACACTCCTGGACTCAGTCAGGGAACTCTGTCTCCCAAAAAGCTTTACCTGGAGATCATGAGTTCAGTACAGAAGTCTGAACCAGGCCCACACGCCTTTGTGATTGTGGTCAAAATCGACAGAATCACTGAACTAGAAATCCACCTGTTTGAGCTCGTTGAAAAGCTCTTTGGTAAAGATGCTTCAAAGTATGTAATGGTGCTTTTCACTCATGGGGATGAGCTTAGGGGGAAGTCCATCTCTGAAATGATCAATGACAACCCATCTGTGAGAAAACTGGTCTCCAGTTGTAACGAAAGGTACTGTGTGTTTGACAACACAGTCAGAGGAAACAGGGGGCAGGTTAGAAACCTCCTGAGGAAAATTGATGTCATGGTCAGAGCTAATGGTGGAAACCACTACACCTCTGAGATGTTAAAAGATCCTGCATTTTCTCTATCCAAACTTTGGAAAGAAATTTGTGAGTGGTTCAAAAGGCTTCTACAGGAGATTGCTGAGTTATTTAAGAGCTGTGCTCCGTCCGCTAAGTATGCTCAAATTGGGATGGTTTAGTTCACTGAGAGGCTGCAGGCTCAGTCGCTGTATGATATCAACATATCGAATCCATTTAAGAGAAACAAAGAGATAATAAGGCTAGTCTTTATGTAAATTTAAACATCAGCTTGATTTCATGTACAGAATCCTCACAGCATCTGACTCCAGCTGAATCTGTAAGAGTCAAAAAATCCCCAAAGTGAAATAAAATATAATTTAATCATCAGAAGATAAAAGATTTGATACGTATAGCAGCTGGCTATAAATATTTTCTTATAGCCAGCTGCACAGTGCAGTGGTTAGCTCTGTTCCCTCACAGCGAGGAGGTTCCTGGTTTGAATCCTCGTCTGTCAGGAGCCTCTATGAGTGGAGTTTGCATGTTCTCTCCGTGCATGTGTGGGTTCTCTCCAGGTACTCCGGCTTCCTCCCACAGTCCAAAGACATGCTGGTTAGGTTAACTGGAGACTCTAAACGAGCCCGAACAGGAAAAGTGGTATCGATTATAGATGGATATTTCCACAGCATTAGTTAAAATAGTTTTGAGACTGAATGAGTTATTAATCCATGTTTTTATCATTATCAGGGTGAATGTTTCAAACATCAGAAGAAGTTTTTCAGTTTTAGTGAATGTAAAATATATCAGTGTTGAGAAGAGAAATTTAAAACAACTATTTAATCAAGTCTTTATGGATCGGATCGATCATTTATTGGAGAATGAAAGATTACAAATTAAAATGGAGCTTCTCCTGTAAATAAAGTTTCTATAATTAATGACTTCCTTATTTTTCAGTTCTTTGCTGTTTTGATTGTTCATGAATGTGTTTCTATAAACTGCTTTAAGTTATAATATTTCATTATTAATGAGTGACATTATAAACCAGCTATAATTCATGTCTGTTGTGATTATAGATGTTTGTTGATATTTCTTCAATTATTTGATTTCTGAACATGTTTAATCCTGATGGTGGTTTTTCTTTTGATTCTCATAAATATAATAAAAACATTTCTACGTTTTTTGTTAAACTGTTGATTTATTATGAATTATGTATTAAATGGTTGTTACGAATGTGGGAAAACAAAGGAGGTGGACCCAATTGCAGGAACAAACAAAAGGTTTATTTTAACAAAAAAGCAAGAGGCAAAATGCAAAACAAAAACTTACTTGAGCAAAATCCAAAAAGGAAAACAAGGAGCCACTAAGAAACACTGGAAACTCTGACAGACTGACACTCCAACATCTTACATACAACAATGATCTGACACAGAAGGGAAGAAACACAGAGACTAAATAGACACAGGTGAGACTAATGACACAGGTGAAAACAATGAGGGCAATCAAGACTGGAGGGAAACACACATGCAGGAATAAAATACAAGAACCACTGAGGACAACTACAAAGTAAATCATGAAACACTGAAGACACACAGAACTCAAGAATGTAACAAAACACACTAGAACATAAAGAAACACTAGGATACAAAGTCAAAAAAAGGGAAACAACCTGTACTATGAAGTGAGATTAACATACCCAGGGTATTTTTGGGTTATCTGGCTACACTAACCCTAACATAAGAGGCCGTGATTAACAGTCTTACGAAGCTGGTTATCAACCTGATAAGTTACCCTTGAGTTTCCAAGAGCGCTTTCACATAAAAGGAGCGTGGTAGCTTAACCTCAAGCATCACAAGCATAACTGTGTCTCCCGTCAGCAGACTGACATATCTAACAAACTCTGAACAAACTACTGTATATTAATAATATAAAGACGTTCTAAACAAACAGGCTCCCAGAGACTAAAGTTACACAGCTTTGGGAATACATGCAGGGAGAACAATTGGCAGATAAAAGAAAAATCGTCAAGTATTAACGTCCAAATGGCTTATTAAAAACATTTTTTTCCCATCATTAGTTCACCTTAGAACTGACTATAGGCCTAATAACTCGTGTTTTTTCTCTTAACTGATTTTGTTGCTCCTACCTTTTAATGTGGCGAGTATAACAGTTTGAGAAGTTATATTTCAGCTGCAGCTCTGACGATAACAGACAGGGCGGCATGGAGACACTAAATATTAAATATGAAAATATAATTCAAAGCCATATCATAATTGAACATCTTAAAAACACAACTCAACGACTCCGGTGCTTTTTTAGTCTCAGTTGAATGATGAATGATGATATCATTTAAAAATAATCATTAACTTAACGGACTATAATTTTATTATACAGGACACATGATGGGTCTCTCTCCCTCCTCCCCCTCTCGATCAGCTGCGGGAGCTCCACGATCAAAGATCTGATTGGTCAGTGTGCGGAGATTTCCACAGGTTGATCTCATATCTCGAACATAACCGGTGCTCCGGAGCTGAAGTTACCTCGCTATCCCCAACTCCCGCTTCGTAGTACAGGCCCCAGTGAAGAATGAGAAGTAAAACAAGATAAATACATCTAAACTCTGAAAAACTAAACTAAATCAAGACAATGGTCTTATTATGTTGATGACAGTGTGTTATTATTTTTCACATTCATTCAGTCTTATTTCTTTAGTTAATTGTATTTAACTCTGAATTCCCCTGACAGCTGGAGTCTTTCTGTTTGTGAGCGTTCAACTTCTGATTTGACTGTAATAAGTTTCAGACTTTACAATAAACCTGATTCTGTTTGAGAAAACAAAGTACCTGCACACTGCAGAGTATGAATGTCCTTATTTATCCAGCCATGCTGAACAGAAGTGAATAGAATAGAAGAAATAGAATAAAATCAATTAGGATACAATATAATGAAACATGTCAATAAAAACTGGTAGACATTTAATTTGTTTTGCATCGTCTGAGGGGAGTTAAAACAGAAAAGGATTTCATCTGTTAGATCAAACATTACAAATTCATTATCATTATAATTCATATCTTTCTTTCAACAATTACATCTCAATTAAAAAATCTTAAAATAGTCCTTAATGTTGTAGAGATATTTTTTACACAGCAAACTGTGAGTAATTCTTTCCACCAGCAGGGAGTGCTGCTGCAACACACTGTTATAGACTCAGATTAAACCTGAGCCAGGAGGATCATTTAGTTTTACTTTTTTAAGAAATTGTTTTAATTAAAAACTCTCTGTGAAGCTTTACAGTTTTAACACACACACACACACACACACACACACACACACACACACACACACACACACACACACACATACACACATGCCTACACTACAAACTGAGGACCGTTGTTTTACACTGACAAAGCGAGGTATTCTGTATCAGGTCATTTAAAAATAAAAAAATAGAACAGAAAAATTACTTGAAAGGTCTGAATCATATTATTACATCAAATGTATTTTTTTAAGAAGTTGCTAAGAGGGGGCATACAGACCTAAGTGTTATTAACCTATCCAAGAGGAGATCTGCGTACACCACAGTGGAACTGTTAATAATAATTTTACCATAAGTGTTTGTGTACCACAAAGAGTTACTTTGTTTCATTACTGGATACATTCATTTTAATGTTATCAATATTTCAATGTCTTTATCCTCAAATATTATATGAGTATTATCTATACACAACAAACTGTGAGTGAGGCTTTCCTCCAGCAGGGGTGCTGCTGCTACATGTTGTTACAGACAGTTCAACCCGAGCCAGGAGGATATTTGAATTTGACTCTTTTCCATATTTCATCACAAAAACATTTGTGAAGGAGTTTAATCCAAACATAACAGGAAATGCTTAAAGGTCGGGACTTGCATAGAAACAAAATCCTACAGTGAGCGATAAAACAGAAAAATTCAGTGTGTCAGTGAAAACAACCAGGCAACACACATAAACACACAGCTTACTAAACATCACTGTTCACTCCAATATAAAGTTTACTAATTGTCTGTGTTTCCATTTGTGTAGGTTGACTACACAGTCAAGTTTATAGTCTCAAAGAATACTCCCACACACACACATAAAACACACACACACACACACACACACACACACACACACACACACACACACACACACACACTCACACACACATACATGTCTTAACACTTCATTTAACTGTACTCTCTGTGAAGGAAAGATAGCTGCTAATTGTTGCTAACATGTAAATGAAATAAAGTTCTAATGAGACCGGTTGTAAAAAGTGGAGCTCAGACTTGTTGGACGGTCTGTTAGTCCAATAAAGCTCACAGAGAGACAGTTTATTAATCTGATATTTACATGAACTAATCTAAAAAAGGCTCCAACAGCACAAACACAACCTAGAGGTTAAAGGTCAGGGACTGAATTAGCTGAGGGGACACCTAGCGGACAGCTAGCAGCTCCCACCTGTCACTCAGAGAGACCACACCGCCTAATTCAACATCCCTTTAAGCCTTAATATAATGTAAAGAGGTGAGTTGTATAAACATTCACCCCGTACAGTTAAAGAGAGAAATGAGCTCTAGAGACCCAAACTGTTTTTGTAGCAGGCTGTAAACATGTTTATTTCTGCTGTAAAGTTGGACTTTTTAACATAAGGCTCTATGGGGACTGACTCACTGCAGGAGACAGACTCTAGAGGACACTGTAGGAACTGCAGGCTTCGAAATTAATATTATCTCTTCAGCCTGTTTTTTGCTTAATTTGCATACAAAATCAGCTGTACGACTCCATCTAGTAAACAGTTTGTGTGTGTGTGTGTGTGTGTGTGTGTGTGTATATGTATGTTTCATGCATGTTGCTATAACAGACTAGAGTATAACTTAGGCGTACTG